ACCCTTCCAGCTCTCACACAGTAGTACTGATATTGATCCACCTGCAAGAGTCCATATGGCTCTGAGAACAAAGGCAGGATGTGTTTGGCTTTTGCTAAACACATTCTATCCTCTGGATTTTCCCACCTTATTTTTGGCCTAGGCTGGCTAAAGATACCTCAGGCATCTAGCCAGCCATTCCCAAGAGTAGCAGGGTGATCAGAAATTCCATCAACTAACAACAACCAAAAAAAAAGGGAGGGCGGGGGAGAAAAATCCCTAGAGTTCAAGGTCACCGTCTGCAAGTCCCAACTCAAATCAAGCTGACTATTAAGATTTCTGACCAAGGAAGGGACTGGCAGTTAAGGTCTTCTCAAATACCTCATCTGGCCTGTGGACAGAGAAGATAATTGAGCTAGACAGAAATAGCTCAGTTAGATAATCTGGCCAAACCAGTTGTAACCTTTTCTCTACTGACCTTTACACTACTAAGTCCATCTATTCCCCAAGGTTATTGGGGATCACAAATCAGGAAATAAGAAATTTCAGCTTTTTAGCATCATCTTGGAAAGGGCGGTGCCTACCCAACGGACCTAAATTTTGCCTCTTTGAAACCTAAAAGGAAGGGAGGTTCTACCGCGACCCTAATAGGAGTCAGTGAGGAGATGCTGATTGATCCCTATCTGCAGGACCTGGGAGGCCAAGTGCTGTTACCTTGAACTCCAAGAGCTAGGGAAGGAATCCAGAGTGGACCCTGACCAATGTTCCTTGATCTTGGAGTCTAGGACTATTTTCCACTCTCAAACGTCCCTTCCTCTCGGGAGCCTCACTATGGACTATGTTCCCCAAGTGTAGACCTCTGCTTCTTCCTCAGGGGTCCCCATCCCGTGTTTCCTTTTCTCTTGGTGTACAGTAGAGAAGGGGAAATGTCCAAATTCTGTCTAGCACTTTACTACACTCAGAACGGCCTCGATAGTATTAGAATAGAGGGGGTCAGTTAGACCTATGTCTGTCTTTCTGAAAAGGGTGGGAGGAGGAAGAAGCCCACCAAAGTCAGGGACACAGGTTTGAGGTCTTTCTCTTCTTGGAAGGAATAGTTGAAGCCTCCTTTGGACAGAGAAAGAAACCCTGGTTTTCATCCTCCTTTTGCTCAGCTATGGCCAGAGACATAGCCATCTTGGAGAGGAAATTCCCTCATCAAGTTAATGCTTCTCCCTTGTTTTTCTCGTGTAGGGTGGTAAGAGGAAGTGAAACAGAGATGGACCTTGTGGAAGAAAGGGGAAATGCTGACCAGCCCTTTTCTGAACACTCCATTTCCTTTCCCCAGCCTCTCTCCTGAGGCGCGGGCCTGGCTCCTGTCCTGGGTCTTGCTTTCCACCCTGAGCTACCACTCTAACACCTGTGCAGAGACATCAGGGATGTCTGCACACATCACAGAAGCTGACGGGGCCAGGCAAGCAGCGGTGGCTCAGGACCAGAAGGAGATCTGATCTCTCAGGCTCCTTCCTTCTTGTCTTACAAAAAAAAAATTTCCCTATCTTGAATCTCTCCCCATGTCTGTCTCTCCATGTCTCTCTTTGCCTCATGCCTTTCTACTGGGCTGCTTAAGTTGGTTTTTCCATGGGAGGATGTGGTAAGAACTATTTGGAGCCACAGCCTATACCTGGCATATCTTCCTTAGTGTCAGTTTCACTTTGAAGATTTGGTGAGAGACAAATCACTTTTTATACTGAAACCAACACAAGTATACTATGTAATGTAAATCAAAATTTGCATTTTTAAAGACAAAATAAGCACATCAAAGACATTTCTCGCTCGCTGGTGACAGGTCTACTTTGACTCCTCTGAGAGCCCTGAGGAGAATGATTCACTGCCCCAAGTCTTAGGGACTTCAAATCTTAGAAGTCCTCCAGAGGAAATT